ATGAAATAAATTCGAATTCAAAATGACGCACATCTGTATCGGGATCACCTTTAGTCAATCTCTTATTTTTCACCAACCGTAGGGAGCAACGTCTCGTATTATCAACATTGCAGTGCTGTGCAATAGAAGACACTGAACGAGCTATCTCAACCGTATTCTCAAAACCATGAAATGACGACAAATCTGGCTGCAAATCTTTAGAACAGTGATAGGTAACTTCATATTTAGAATGATCTAGACTTCTCCTATTGCTATCAAATATATCCGAAATTTTTGGTAAAAGTGCAGGATTCATGTGGTTTAGTTTATTCCACAAGGACAACAACCAAGGGTCAAGGGAACCTTCATACCCAGAGGGGTGCTGATCATCTCCCAAGCCTCTCTCTATGATAGGTTTTGCCCCAAGATCTATAATCCTTCTATCCAACTTTTTTGCAGAGAAATTGTACTTTTGGTAACCAGAGTCTCCAAGTCCGAACACTGCATAATTCAAACCATCCAGCCAGTTATGACTCAAATGCTTCTGCAAAAGAAACTTCCAGAAAACCTTCATGGAATCCGGGTTCTCTCCTTGGCCAGTAGTTGACACAACAAAAATTACAATTCGGTCCTCGTGCAAAAAGCTCGCATCGAATGCATCCATGGACAAAATATCAACAGAAGGGCAGCCACCACGTTCCGCCTCTCTTCCCACGCGATCTGCGACATCCATTGCATTCCCAGTCTGGGAAGCGTAAAGCACAAGGAGACGTGGTGTTTTCCCTTCAAAATCCATTCACTCGAAAAACAATTGAAAAACACCGAATGAATCCGAATTACAGCAGGCGAGAACCAGCGCCACAGCCAAAAGGGTTCTGCAAAGGACGAGAGTTCAGAGGTGGAAGAAGTGTCCGCCCTCTAGTGAAATAAAAATGTGCAAGGAACTAAACAGAGAAATGGAATTTGATCTCTAGAAGGGAGCAAAATTCGGAATAAAAAATTTTATATTCATTAATTGAGCAGAAAAAATAGATTACTGGTGAGATCAGGAAAAGTACCATTTCGTGTGGATTTCGCCTTAAATCCCGTGAATCGGCGTATTCAGTAAATCCGGGATGGGCTTTCGCGCTAAAAGGAAGATCTGAAGTTGCCTTTCTCAATGATTTCGGGTAGGAAGGAGCAGAAGTAGCAGATGAATGGGATATTCGGGTCTCTGTAAGCCGTGCCATTGTTAGCGACGCTATTTTAAAGCTCCGCCAGTTTCCTGAACTTGTTAGAATAATTAATTAGTTATTGTTTATTTTAGTTAATAAATACTTATAAATTTATTGAATGAATAAAAATTATAATTCATTGTTTTACTAATTAATTATTAAATAATAAATATAAATTCATTTAATTATAATTACACAAGCAAGTCGGAGGCTGAGCCGGCTGGCCTCGGAAAAAATTAGTTCTGGGCCCACTCGATGGGCCCCGTTAGTACCTGCTGTTTGGTACTTAACGGCGTATTGTTATGCGCGATTATTTAAAGCAATGCCTCATCCGAGGTGAGATCGGCGCAGAAAAGATGATGATAATTACTAGAATAGCATCCTTATGTATAATATTTCTAAAATAGCTTGTACAATAGTTAATTAAAAAATTAATAATTGAATATCTATATAAATTATATAATTTGTGACAAATGTAAGTCTCGCCATTAGAAAATGTTAGAAATAGCTGATGTTCTGATGTTGCATAAGCACTAGCATTCATAAAAAACAAATATATATATATAT